TGTACAGCCCTTTCCTGGGATGAGTGAGCAGCACAGCCAGAGGCTGCCTCTGCCTGTGTTCTGCTGCATGCATCACTTCTTTGGGATCCCTTGGCCTCGAGCAGGGACTGTTCAGATACCTGTGATGGATCCCAAATATCTCTTGGGGGGTAAAGATTTCTTTTTTTCAGACTGTGCAATCTAAGTAATTATGCTTCTAAGCAGAGACTATTTTCCCAGTTTTAGGCTTCCTTGACTGAATTATTTCCTAGCATAAGGAGCTCTAGAGAGAAAAAAATACAATTCAGGAAGACATGAGTAAGAACCAGCGTTTTGTGGAGTGTCTCCTTAGTGCTTTTCCACTCTTACCACACACATTATCTGAGATGCCCATATAGCCACTTGACTGAAGACAGCTGGGCTATGGGCAGTTGAGGGATGTGTCTGACAGTGGAACAAGAATAAAGAATGTAAAGGACAACATGGCCTTTTCTATTCTGGTCTCTTTCTTTCTGTAAATTAAAAGATATGTTCAAGGAAATCAGCACCAAAACGGGTTTTCAGAAGTTAGTGGCCTCTTTTAGAAGGTGTTCTATTATCCAGAGTAAGAAGTTAGGATGCAGGTTTTTCTTGAAGCGAAAAGACTTGAAAGCAATAAGCCAGAACTCAGGACTTGAAATAAGCTAGAGGAAAACTGCCTGTCCTTTAAGGATCACAGTTTGATACTTGAGAAAGTTTCTAGTTAGAGGATGAGAAATTAAATTTTTGCAAAGGAAATGCACTTGGACATCTACCCTTTCTAGGGGAAACAGGGATCAGGGTGCTGGTGAAAGGTTTACTTTTTTCACTCATTACTGCATTCTCATTCAGGTCACAAAATTTTTATTTGATACTAAAGTAACAGCTGCAATGTGTCTTTCTCTCCCCTTTGACATAGTTTCAAAAAGTCAGTGCCTTTATTTGGCTGGGTTCTTCCTGTGATAAGGTACAGCTAGGTTGCCTTTACGAATGACTCTAGCTGGTTTAGCAGAAGAAATCCTGCTTAGGAAATTGTAGTTTTGCTACACCTAATTTTCTTTTTAAAGTTTTGCACCAAATTCTTTCAGATAGATCTCTAGTATTCTAGAATTGATGTTCATGTTTTTGGAAGCTTTAACTCAAGTGGTTCTAAATCTTTTAGAAAGGAGGGGCATATGAGGAAAGCAGCACTTACAACTTCACTTCCTGTTCTTAAATGACTTGCCTGGTAAAGGTAACAAGCTCAGGGGTTCCTGAAATCTCTGATGGAGGAATGGTTACTTAAAGAATAAAAAACTTAGACAACACAAAAAAATCCTGAACCCGCTAAATGCATAAATTGTCCTCTGCCTGCTCTGACTAAGAAGAATCAGTAGAAGACTTCCAGAAATCAGAATAACACTACTTGTATAGTGGCTTTCACTGGATCAATCTCTCAATCTATACTGCTGCTATGAAAATAGTTTAAAATAGGACATCTTTTGTCTAATCTGAGGTTATAGACAATGGCACTGTGGGTTTTACTTTTAAAAGTGTTTTAAAGTGTTTAAAATAATTTAGTATAACAGACTCAGAATATATAATCTAGTATAATTTTCCAAATGCTTTACAAAATATGATTTGATCCACTGTACTAGGGAAACTCAAACTGCCCTCTAACTTCCTGGCTTTCCACAAGTGGTATAGATCAAAACCAACAAGGTTTTCTAGGTACCATATGAGGGACAAGTTAGGGACTTTGCTCTTTACAAAATACCTTTTTGAAGGCATCCTGAGACATTTGGAAGGGGCTCAGAGTTCATGGTAGCTGTTGGGACATTGTATTTTGTACTGACTAAGCTCCATTTGCTGCATACTTCAATTCCTTCACTTTCCAGGTGCAGCACAACTGCTTCTTTCTTGCTCCATCTCAGTTCATTGTAATGTGCTGTACATAGTCTACACGTATATGATACAACTTACATTTAGTGAGCTATAAGGCTAATTAAGTTATCTTAGGGAGAAAAGGGAAGCTAGTGATTTTTTTCTTAGGGGGCACAACAGTTCATATCTCTTTTTTGTGCGGGGAAGGGAGTGTTGGGTGTTGCTCTGCGATAAGAAACTGTCAGCAGCTGACAGTGCTGTTGGCCAGACCTGCCCAGGCTTAGGCTTTGACCTAGGAAGTTCTCACTGCCTGATAAAATTAAGAGCTGATATTCACTGCATCTGTTCCAACTGAATCCTGCAGTTCCTTCACCCTGAAGGAAAGCAAATAGATGCCACCCATCCCTGTGGAAAACTGAGAGGGAGATGGAGGGATGTAGCCAAGGTTTACTCTGTATGTGTTACATCTGGAGAAGAGCAGTTTGTTAACCAGCTCTGTCCCATGCCTAGCTTGGTGACAAAGGAGGGCAGAGATGGTAAAAGCCCTGACAGTCATGGGTGGCTTTATGAGAAAGTGTACTTATTAGAAGGTAACATTCTCTTTCATTACAGCATTCAGCAGACTCTTGCTGCTACAAAAGTCTTAGTTGCTGCATTTCGAAATCCCTTATCCTTGTTGGCTCCATGTTTTAGCCCCTAATTGCTAGTTTTTTCTCTGTACAGGATTGTTTTTACTAGGTTCACTTGAGTCATCCATCGATGGAGCTGGAGTAATGGCAACATAATCAACTACTTCTGACAGTCTTCAGGCTTCACATGTGCTGCTGATGTAAACCAACTGCCCCATCATCTTCCCCTTCTCTTAGGCTCTTACTGCACATTGCCACAGAAGACATTACTGCTGATGAGGAGATGAATATGAAGTTTGGTACCACGCTGAAGAACTGTAGGCACCTCATGGAATGTGCTAAGGAGTTTGGAATCCAAATAGTTGGTGTTAAGTGAGTAGCGTTATTGTTCTCCTGGCTGAAATGATTGTCTGAAGTGCTCAAGAGCTGCAGCTGAGAAGCTTTTTCTTAAGAGAAGTTGAGAAGATTTTAGATCATGCCAGTTTTGGCTTGCAAAGCATATAATATGAAACAAAGTAATTACATTAAAACAATTCAAAAGAGTAATCTTTCTGTTGTGATAAAAAGGCAAGCGTATCTATTAACAGCAATAAATGGATGAACAAATAAAATGCTAGTGTAGAATAGGATAGCTTGGGCAGATGTTAAACAAGACAAACATCGGATACAATTCTCAGAATAGTTTTGTCATTCAGAAATACTGCCCCTAAATATGATCAATGACTTTGACTTGCTGCTGGCAGAAATTAATCCTAATCTTCTGAGCTTCCAAATCTGTGATATTTTAATTTGAAGGTAGATATGCAAAATTTCATTGTATGGAGTGAAAATGCCTGCTCAAGTCCTGGTTCTGTCTGATTTTAGATACTAAGACCTAACATGCCCTTTAATGTTATAAGAGAGCAATCAAACAAGAAAAATGAGTGGGCCATCTACCAAACAAACATGTAAAATGAATATCAGATTAAGGAATTAAAACAGTGGGTTTTAAATCTACTTGCAATTTTTATATTAAAAAGTGTTAGTCACTACAAATGACAAATGTGTTCAAAAAAATTTGACACTAAATTATGTATTCAGTCTGACCTAACTCTAACCATTGCTTTTGTGCACTTTAAACAAAATTCAAACTTGAGTAAATATAAGCTTAAAAACTAAATGTAGCTCAGTATTTGCCTCAATGCCATTCCTGAAAATGCATGAATGGATTGGACAGTTTAGTGGGTGGGTAGGGTATGTACATGGTGCATCCAGAACCAGTGGACCTTGCCAGTCTCCAGAGTGAATGGGAATGTTGATGCTTTTTCTAGTGCACATGTTAAACTCGCATCATTTTGATGCTGGAAGACTGAAAGGTTCAGTAAACTTGTCATGCCTAAAGATTAGGGTATTGCAAGCCACTGCTAGCATTAAAAGTAAGACTGGCTTTGTGTGTATAAATATAGTGGGGTAGAAGGCAATTTGGTGTCCTTAATTCTGCATGATGTATAGTAAACTGCATAATCTTTTGCAACTTGGGAATAAAGTACTTTTCCCCTACTACTGTGGGTAGAGAAACAGTTTGCTTGGTCTGAAAACTGAGGTTCTGCATATTAACTGCATCTTTATTTCTTTCAGATTTCACATTTCAAGCACTTGCAAGGACCTGCAAACGTACATTCATGCTATATCTGATGCTCGGTGTGTGTTTGACATGGCTGTAAGTAGATATGTGCAAGAAAAGTACAAATCTTCTCCTTAATCAGGCCAATAAGCCAAGTGCATTATTTCTAAAATAAGTTATATTAATGTAGGAAACATCATCTAGTAATTGGCCAAACATTCCTTGAAATGTGTGGCAGAGGCAGAACAGTTTGTCATTCTGGACAAAGACATGAACAAACTTCCAGAAAAGGCAATGAACACTGTCCCACTGATGGCAGTAGTGTAGTGTGCAAGTAGCTATAAAGCAGCAAACTGACAGGCACCCTAGGGAAAATGTGTTGATAAGGTCAAGTAGAAAAGAGATTTGCCAAGAAGACCTACTTCTAATAAAGAATAGAACTAAACACTTGTGTTCTAATAAGTTTTCACTTCCAAATGAAAAACTTAGTTTTTACTTCTGCTAAAAGTCTTTTGCTTTGGAAATTGAAGTCTCAATCCTACAAATACACAACTCTGTTGCATTAAAATGTTAAGTATTTGTATCTTGGTGTTTCAAGTTAATATTTCTATTGACATAAACATGTGACTTAAGTTATTTCTTACAAGTCTTTGTTCTTTACTGAAGTTCATACATTAGCTGCTTATACATGATGAGCAATACAACTAAGTTCTCTCACTTGTGCAAATGCATCCCAGCAGTTCCTAGTTACATAAATGTTCTGCAAAAGACCTACTTTTAGGACTTTACAAATGGGTCTAAACTTTCCTCTGCCATGATGCACTACCCTGCAAATATTGCTCAAGTATAACAAATACAAGATGGGAGCTGAGACTGCAGTAGGACTTTTACAGCAAGTTTGTGTAATCAGCCTCTAATATCCCAGTACCATTACTGTTAGGTTTAATACTATTTGCTGATGTAATTCCATCACCAAACTATCCTTTTCTGCATATATGCAGAAGTGTAAATATATGGAAAATGACCACAGTAAGGAGCAACAAATAATATTTTTAAGAGTTGCATTTGTATGTGTACTTAAGTTCTGCTTGTGCATTTTAGGAAGAATTTGGCTTTAAGATGAACATACTGGATATTGGTGGGGGCTTCACAGGTTCTGAGCTTCAGCTGGAAGAGGTAAGCAGAAACATTTTTGTGAACTTCTACTTAACCTCTGAATTCTAGCTAACATTAGTAGGTAAAACCTATTTTAAATTCCACAATATAGACTGCAAATGCATATGATCCAAATGGTTTTATATTCTGCAGCAGGGTAGTGCAGTGTTGTCTTGGGGACTGTTTCTTTCAATACTCTCTCTGTTGGATGAGTATTAAGTTATAGTCACAGGCTAAATTGGCAGGGTAGTGCAGTGTTGTCTTGGGGATTGTTTCTTTCAATACTCTCTGTTGGATGAGTATTGACTTAAGTTATAGTCACAGGCTAAATTACTGCTGCTAATGTGGCTTTAGCTAATAACTTTTTTTGCAGACTGTGGAGTTAGGGCCATGATTCGTTAGTATGTTTTGGTTCATGAACCATATTGCTGTTGTACTGGCATTCTTGGTACTTTAGAACTGAAGATAAAAAATTCTGCCCTATGGCTTACTTGGTTAGCCTTAAATAAAATACTTATGACTAGTCTGGCATAAAGTGCATCTTTAGGATGCAATAGTACATAACTTAGGCTATTCAGTTTTGTATTGTCTATTTAACAAACTTTTGAAGGGTAGGACAGTGATTGTTTCTACAAAGTTGCTGGTGAATTAGAAACAGTTTTTGTTAATTTGTTCTGTTACTGGTCTAAATTACTTACATTACTGTTAAGCCAAATAATTCCTTCAAGGTTAAGACTTGAAAAATTCAGTGATAATCAATATTGAATTCACCCTGTTTCCAGTCTGAAATGATTCAGAATTGATAAACTCTTTCCTTGGCCTTGTGGTTTGATACACAACTTTATAGCATGTGCTGGGTTAGGAAAGCTTGGAAATTGCTTGTCTGACCTTGAGTGTACCACAACTTGAGATCTGCTTGGAAGCTGGTACTCATAGTATTTGGTTTTGGGGGTTTAACTGAATGTTCTCTTTTCAACCAGTCGTAAATTTTAGGCTCTGATAAGGGCACTTCTCAAAGATCAGAGGAGTAGAATGAGCCTTGCAGGTTGCTTACTAGAGCTGTGTATTGCTGACTGGAAATTAGTGATGGACAAAATGTCTGCCAAACATCTATTTCAAGAAATACATACATTAAAGCAGAAGTCTAACCAGATTCCAATTTTCTAGGTTAATCATGTCATCAGGCCACTGCTGGATGTCTACTTTCCTAAGGAATCTGGTGTTAATGTGATCGCAGAGCCCGGTTGTTACTATGTTTCATCTGCATTTACGTTGGCAGTTAACATCATTGCAAAGAAAACTGAATGTGATAAACTTCTTCCTTCTGGAGGTGAGTGCTGTGTAAGTACTTTGACGTGCTTGCATGCACACTTGTTTTAGGATGGGCTAGCTTGCCTTCGTATATATTTACAACTCAAGCACAGAGTACATATTAATACACCTTTGGGATTTTAACCATGCATTATCTGTATCTTTTTTCTTTGGCATGTGGTTTAAGGAAACTTTATAGAAGGATTATATTGAACATAGAACAGAACAGGACTAGTCTGTTCTTAGTAGTGATAGTTTCTGAAAACGTGGCATCTAAATTTAATGATGCATGTAAACTGATAATCAGATCTTGTTCTGTTCATAATTTCAGTATAAATCACATTTCAGTGCATGTGACACCTTTTCAGGAGAAAGATGTTGAATCCATTTAGAAGATTGCAAAAGGATTATTTACTTCAAAACAAAGTAAACAAAATGCACGTTGTCTTTTCCTTTCCAGTGGAGCAAGCCAGGGATGATGAACCAGTATTTACCTATTACATAAATGATGGTGTTTATGGTTCTTTTGCAAGTAAATTGTCTGAGAAACTGAATACTACTCCGGAGGTTCACAAGGTGAGTCCTTAGGTATTTTTTTCAGAAATGAGCTGAACAATTATTTTTATGTATATCTGTTTTCATTAATGTTTGAATTACTTGGGTTATTTTCATGTAGAAATACAAGGAAGATGAGCCTCTGTTCACAAGCAGCCTTTGGGGTCCATCCTGTGATGAGCTTGATCAAATTGTGGAAAACTGTCTTCTTCCCGAGCTGAGTGTTGGAGATTGGCTGATCTTTGCTAACATGGGTTCCGGTACCTTAGGTGAACAGTCCACCTTCAATGACTATCAGCGGCCACTGATTTACTACATGATGTCTTTCAGTGACTGGTAAGAAAACTGTTAATGGCAAGATTGTTTTTCCTGCCCCTCTACTCAGCCCCGGTGAGGCTGCATCTGGAGTACTGTGTCCAGTTCTGGGCTCCACAGGACAAGAGGGATGTGGAGCTGCTGGAGAGAGTCCAGCGCAGGCCCACAAGGATGATCAGGGGCCTGGAACATCTGCCCTATGAGGAGAGGCTGAGGGAGCTGTTCAGCCTGGAGAAGAGAAGGCTGAGAGGGGACCTGAGCAGTGTCTAGAAGTACCTCAAGGGAGGCAGTGAGGAGGATGGTGCTGGCCTCTTTTCACTGGTGGCCACCGACAGAACTAGAGGAAACGGCCAGAAACTGAAGCATCAAAAGTTCCACAGGAACTTAAGGAAAAATTTCTTAACAGTGAGGGTGCCAGAGCACTGGAACAGGCTGCCCAGAGAGGTTGTGGAGTCTCCTTCTCTGGAGATCTTCAAACCCGCTTGGACGCAGTCCTGTGCCACGTGCTCTAGGTGACCCTGCGTGTGCAGGGGGGTTGGACTAGATGATCTCTAGAGGTCCCTTCCAACCCTAAGCATTCTATGATTCTAATCTTTACTTTTTTGTTTGTGGCTGCTATGCTCTGACTTCACTGACATTAAAATGAGTTGTGATAGAGTGCCTAATTTTGGGCTGACAGATACTTTCCCCAGAGTTGTACTCTTGTTCTAATGGTACTGACTGTTGCTGTTTCCTCATACCAGCTTGTAGCTTGCAGCATTGTAACTGGCATCATGGTTGCAGGCAGGAAAGGTAGTGACACTGTTGCAGTTTGTGTGACAGTTGAGTAGCCCAGTCTGCTCCTTAAGTAGCAGATGTCCTAAGCCTCCTCTCAAGGATCACAGCTCCTGTCTGTCTAATTTGGGTATAGTTGATTCTCTTGATGCTTGAACTTAAGGCCACCCTATTATAGGGAGCTGTAAACTTCAAATGCCAAGTTCATCACTAGTTTCTAATGTTAAATTATCTACGAAGACCTTTTTCCCCTCTTGATTATAACTCTTGCCCTTTCTGCTGCAGGGATGAGATGCAAGATGCTGGAATTGCTTCAGACACATTGATGAAGAATTTCTTCTTTGTGCCTTCGTGCATTCAGCTGGGCTCAGAAGACCGCTTTTCCACTGCAGCTTAAACAGGCATTAACGCTTCATTTTAGACCTGCAGTTGCAAGTCTGTAGTTTGTCTGGTCAACATTCCAATGTGGAAGAAATGGAACAATCTTGAGTTCAATTCACTCTTGTCAAAACTTGAAAAAAAATAGTAATAGCTAATTGGGACCAGGCAAAACCAGCTACAGCTACAATTCACTGGGGTGTGTGGGGAGGGTTAGATAACGGCATCCAAATTTCATCTTAACAGTTTGTTTAACCCCTGAGCGTTTAAATATGCAACAAAATGGATGACTTAGTGGAGATGGAAACCCATCACTTGGGTTCTTCAACAGTTTACATACAAGTACAGTTTTTATACTAAGGATTCCTGTTAGAAAAGTCTTGTAAAGTTATTGTCTTTCGCCCAGATATATCAAATGTCAGTGGGAGACCAGTGTGACTTCATTAGGTGTTTAGTGTATTTAGAATGTGTAAATTTGTGCTTTGAACTGTAGTTTAATAAATGTAAAATTGCATCATAGTATTTGTTGTATTTGACCCTTGATGTACCCCTTGTATGGTTGCAATAAAACTTTGTGTAGATTTTACTGTTTTTCAGGATAACTTGGCAAGGGGCTAGGCAGAAGAGGTATAAAGTAGATGTATACATGATTGTTTTAAGAAGCCTTCTTTTGTCTAGCCCATTACTTCAGTTTTTAGTAGAGCATTAAGTCATGAATAATTTAAGTAAATTAGACTTGATAAACTTGTGTTAAGGACAGGTAAGTTCCTGGAAGGTTGAAATGCAGTTTGTAGTATTTCTTAAAGTATTCCCTTAGTTTACAAGCTCTAACACTAAAAGCAGCAAGCCTGCAGTAGATGTAGATGTGCCCAGAAGAGGTAGTTCTTAGCATGCATGTAGTGACCCCATTGCAGCATGGGTTAGTGCCGCTCTGCTGGTTGTTGCAGAACCTTTAGCTCTCTTTTTGTTCTTCCTTTAGTGGGGTTTATTGAAGAGTCAACTTCAGCTAATTCTGCCTAGTGCAAACTCACAGCAGAAGGGCTATGTGTCTTCAGAAACCTCGGTGCTCTCTTTCATTGCACTTCAAGTGTACCAACCAAGTAAAGGTAAAGCACACTACCAGAAGCGTCTACTCCAACTGCACCAACAACTTGGCTGAAACTGCTCAGTGGATTTGCTTGTTCATTTTATTGGAGCCTCTTAATTTCTTCTAGGTCCTCCTCTTGTTTTCTCATTTTAACTTAATCTCCCCAACTTGAAAACTTGGGGGACTTTCAGGATTTTGAAGTGATGTATTAAGTTCTGGATCCTGTAATCAAAGGGGGCTTATTTATATTTAAGTGGAATTTCTACCTCTTGGTTGCCAGTGTATCTTACATAAGTGCCAACTGGTAGGGAATCTTAACTTTGGTTCCAAAAGGCAAAAACTTCATAAAACTTGATGTACCTTTACTCAAAGTGGAGAAAGATCATCATGGAATAAGCTTTTTAATTTGAATTTGACTACTGACAACTTGTCAGACTTATAGGCCAGCCTAAGTAGTGATTTATGTTTGCAAGAAATATTTTTTCATTGGAATTAAATTGGGGAAACAACAGGGAAAGGGAGTAATGAAGGAAATGTGGTGTTTGGAATCTAGTTATTGGCCATCCCTCTGCTTTGGAAAGTCGCACACTTAAGTCTACCGGTTAAAGTCTTCTCTAGATTCTACAAGACATTGAACTGCACAGTTTGACTACAAAATATCACTACAGTTGCCTAAGAACTTAACAGGATGATGTTGTGCAGTCTGAGGGAGAGGTATTTTATGTTATTTACAAGTCAGCAGGGGAAAAATCCTTTACAAATGATATAGTAGTCACAACAAAATTGTCCATTGTACTTGAAGACAAGTTTGCCATTAAAACCAACCTGAAGTTTGAACACAGTATGTATTTCAGTTTGATTTGCTATAAGTGTTACTATTTGTCTATATTGTGTTTGCAATTCAAAAATTAATTGAAAATATAGAAAACTGATTTTATGTAGTGCATTGAATTGTAATGTAGCTTTGTTATGCTTGATACACACCTGCAACTAACTCTTCTGAGGATGCTGCTCTTGCAGACCTTTTGGTATGCACAGCTGTAACAGCATTGGCTGGAACTTCTTGGCAATTGATATGTGCAAGCAGTGTTTTGGGATATAATCCACTAATCTACTTGCGTGTGAAGTACTTCCCCCATATGGTTCTTCAGTCCATGCATACCCTTTGCAAGGAGAACCTAGGGCTGTAACTTGAGACAGTTCATGTTACTAAAACTCAAGAATGGGAGCAAGTGGCCCCATTTCTCCCTGTGCCAAAGCAGCTACTCTGCTGACCTGTATTGCCTTGGGATCCAGTGCTGGGTATTTTGTCACTTCAGATATATCCCCCATTTTTGTTGTTGCTGCTTTATGAGAACAGAGGTGGTGGGGAGGCAGTAGAGACTGTGTAGTAGCAGGGTCTATGGAGAACTGAATCTGTCAAAAGAAAGGAAGCAGCTGTTGTGAAAAGAGAGCATGCACTATAAAGCTTGTTAGCAGCACTACTTAATTTGGGGTAAATATCTAGCATTCCTTGTTACTTTTACAGCTGGGTAACTAGCATGGGCTAGTCTAATGCTTGATCTTGAGCTTTTATTTACTCTCACCCCTTCCAACCATGCATGGCACACAGGAATGATGCTCTGTCTTGCTCTTCTTGCATGGCAAGTACTGGTGGTGCTCTTAGTCTAAGAATATAATCTTCAATAACAGTCTTTCACATTATATTTTAATCCCTTTGCTGCTGTATAGTTTTCAATTTGAATAAGGGATATTAATAGGATTCCCCATCCAGATACCTAGGGCAAAGCTAATTGTGCTTGTTAGCGTGAAGCAGGGAACAGAGCAGCTTTCAGGGTGGCTGCAGGACTCTGTCCAGCCAGTGGCTTCCTGGGTCTCTGCAATGGGCCCAGCTCCTCGTGCAGGTCTTTCTCCAGAGAGTGTATGTTGCTCTTCCTCTTGACTGAAACTGCTGCAGTAGGGCAGGCAGTAACCTCCATGAAAGGTGTGTAAGGGCAGCTGGCCTTTATACTGCTTTACAGCAGAGATGCTCTGTGCCTAACAAAAGGAAGGGGAAAACAAACTTTCCAGTTGGGGATTTATAATGTTCTCTGAGTACCAAGCAGTTTTAGATGCTAGTTGTGTTTTGTTCCAAGTTGGGCAAACTCAGCCCCACAGAATGCTCATCATGCTAATAACAAAAACTTGATTTACGACACAAGCCTGTTTTAATGTGAGAAGTGTAATATCTGCTGTTAAGGGGTCATGCTGTAGAGCTGGCCGTTTAGCTCTGCTGAATGGAAACTGCTGTTGTCCAGGCCATCCACTTGCTAACTTGGGCTTCTGATGTGGACAGAGCAACACAGGCACAAGTGGCTTCTAAGTTTTGTTACTACTCCAAAATATCCACATCCACTTATGGTGGCAAAACAGCAGAGCTTTTTCAGGAAGCAGAGGGTAGGTCCCCTAGCCAAAATCTGCTTCCAGAAACAGCTGTTCTGGTAGCATTGAAGCTGAACATGCTATAGCTTATGGTCTATTTTCTGTTCACTGCCATGCACAGAGATAATGGGACAATACCCTAGTATAAACATCTCATTCAACTGAAGAGGTTAGGTTAAGCTTTTAAAAACACTCTCCTTGCTCTGGGAGGTGGTGCACCCTGTGGTGCTGGAGCTGGTTTCACCAAGTCCTCAAGCAGGCTCCTGTGAGTGCTCCTGGTTTCTGTAGCCAGCACCAGCCTTCCTAGCCTGGAGTTCAAAGGGTGACTGTGGGAGCAGGAGTGGGGTGGGTGGTGGTGGCCAGTGGTATAGTGGGCAGGGGAGGAAGGGTGACAGGGCAGCCTGCTCGGCCGTGTGGGCTGCACGGAGCAGGGGGCTGCTGGGGTGGGTGTGCTGATCCCACCACCTATAGCTTTCCTTCAGTAAAAGCCACCTCAGAAGCCTGCTGATACTGCTGCTGGGGGGCAGCCTTCCAGCTCTTGTGACCGTGCTGTGCAAGCCAGCATCTGAGTATTCAGCCATGTAAGTCCCAGCTCATGAGGAACACGAATCACCCGTGAGCAGCCTCACCTCAGCAGTTCAGTGCTGCCACAGGGTGGTTGTGTGCAGAAACTTCACAAAATACTTCACTTACCCATCCAGGAAACTGTAACAGAGACCCTTGTACAGCAGTGCCACATGTTCCCGCTTAGATGCAGTCCTGTGCCAATTGCTCTAGGTGATCTCTAGAGGACTAGATGGTCTCTAGAGGCTCCCCTTCCACCCTGAACGATTCTATGATTCTGTGTGGTGACGGCCGTTCCTCCATCCACCTGCCGGCTCCCTCTCTCCCCGCCGCTCTCCCCTAGAG